CGTAGTCATCTACACGTTTGACCTGTTTCTGCAGGTACTACTCTACATACATACACCTGTGCTTGATACAACATGGATAAATAAATAGCATAAATAGTATATTTACTTTGCTTTTTTCCCCTTTTTTATGTATTTTATCTCCATAAATTGTCAAAGGGGATGTGACAAGAACAGAGTCCACATGAGTTGTATGTATGTAACAAACAAACAAACAAACAAACAAACAAACAAACACACTAGCAAACTTACGAATGTAAATAATTCAAACTGGACTCCCCAAAGCAAACAAATAGGATATGGAAATCAGTAGTAAAAGCAAAGCATGGAGATGTGAGGTCTGGGTTGTGGAGGTGTTGAATGAAAAAAGACTAAACTGACTTTTATAACTTGAGGGACGAGGCGATCTACTCTGTCACCCTGTCTTGAGTTGATCTTTACTAAAAACAGTGCTGGAATATGAGGCTGAGCAACATGGCTGAAAAATGTAACATGATAAAATGTTTCATAACGGTTGATATCTTTAATTATTGATCATTTTAAAGACCACTTTATTTATCAAGGTAGACAGGTAATAAGGTTAAAAATACTGAGTACCTCTTCATCATGTGGACTTGTAGAGTGGGCTGGTAGTGAGTCACTCACAGCATGCCATCAATATTCTATTGAACAATTGTCTTGTTGCTATTGATCAAATATTGTTATTGTCTTATTGCCAAAGGCTAGTGAAAGGCAAATAAGGATACTACATTTAGTCAAGCACTGTTCTTAAAACAGCAACAAGGAATTTCCATCTTTGTTGTTTCTGGTGCCCCCTGTGGACAAAATGGTATTGTGTCCATCACCTTGTTTCATTGGTTTCAAGTGGAATCTGACCCAGTGGATAGCATTAAGAATATATACAAATAGCCAATCTTCTTGATTGATTGTTGACATTCATTTCCAACATACTCGTAAGATATTAGACGACAAAAGAAAACACATGTATGCCACATTGAGGTAATTTAAATGACAGCTTTAGTTATTTTTCATATTAAGATTTACATAAACAACATATAAGGTTATAAAATAGAATACAATACATCATTAAAGATTAAACCAATTGTTTCCAACCTTTTTTGACCTGTGAACACCTGTGTCTGGTCGAGGCTCCTATAGCCACATTTTAGGTTTCAGTTGTACCAACCACAGCGCTTTATCATCTGTCGTTTTGCGTGGTCATTTACTGTCAGTTGCTTGTTGTTTATAACGTTTTACTATTATAAAAAGGATCTCTGTTTTACTACAGAACTCTAAATGAAAAATTTTACTCTGAAAGAAGAAAGGAAGAGAAACAGAGAAGTACATAGATAAGCATGGGTTTTTTAAACCACATTACTTCTGTGGTGGTGTTGAATCATCAAATTACTGCCTAATAAAAGGTCATAATGTTTCCTCAGTGTGGGTGAAAGGTACAGTAAAACAAGTCAAAGGCAGTCATCAATCGATGGCACAAATCCACCTCCAATGGGCAACACAGAAATCTTAAAAGGTCTTAACTTACTCAGGTTTATTGAACTCTGATCCTGTGTGACTAGTGCTATAAAGACTTCACTCTGTGTTGTTAAATCCTCTCCTGTCCTCCGTCTGTCATACCTTTGTATAACTTTCCTTAAAGAGTAAGTGATATCTAAGAGAATTATTATTATGATTAGTACATATAGTCTATAGATGAAGGGCTGGTGTTTAGTTTTGAATCCTTCCCTCACATTCTTATACCAAGTAAAAACAAAGCAATCGCTGTTTATCACTGTCATAAAGGTCATCATAGTTACAAAGGTGTCACATGTTTCTTTTTAACCGTGTCACTAACATGATGGGAAGTGTACGTGCTGGCTGCACAGAGGTTAACAGGCCCTGAAACTAAAAAACCACATACATTACTCAGAACATAAATACGAGACACTGCTGTTCTGGTTCGGTTTCCTTCACACGCAAACTTCAAATAGAGATGTGTCAAAACATGAGTGGATGTCTGAAGAGTTCTTAATAAATATTTGTGTTTTAAAGTACTTGAGGTGGTACTGTATTGGTCTGAATGACAGATATTTTGTCCAACATATTTGCAAACTATATAGGAGTAAAATGGTTCGTGACTGCTCTGAGACCTGTAACTGAACACAACACAGAGTGCTCGTCCACTTCAGTCACCTTTACATACCATCTAGCCAGCAGGTGTCTGGGGTTTAGTAATTAGTACAGATGTCTGGTTGAAACATGTTAAGGGGAATTATATCATATTTGCATTGAGTTACATAAGAGCTTGAAGGAAAGCCTGAGAAAATATTTGGGTTTTAACTTTTTGATTTTATTAATTTGTGTGTTTCTCACCTCTCCTTTAGATTGCATTTGGCCATCTTCTGACCCAGGAACTGGCAAACCAGTCCCCGCTCAGGTGAACTCCTTTTATGGTCAGTTTCCTGGAGGTTAAGTGTGGTATAGACGATGGGGAGATTAAGGAGATGTTTGGGAGATTTGGGATCTAGTTTCATCCTTTGATATGTGTAGTGAGTTTTTTTGTCCACTGCTGACTTATAAAAGTTATCTATTGGGTATTAGATACATGTGTGCTATAAGTGAATTGATTCCTTAATTAAGGCTTCCTGGGGTAGGAGGAGCAACAGGATATATGAGCAGGAGTTGAGGATTCTCTTGGAAGATACTTTTGGGCTGCCAGGGGCAGTTGCTTTCCATTTGTTTTAATTTTTATATAGTTTGTTGTTTTCTTAAGTTTGGGTCAAGCTGATCCTCACTGTAAATAAGCTGCACTGATCCACTGCTGAACAAAAAAGGAAAATTTGGACTGACCGAACAGTTTAAAGGTCCCTTCCTTCCTCCCTTCACTGCTCGACCAACCTTACAGTAACACCTCACAATATTATCAGGGGTGGAAAGTATGCAGTTACTCGAATACTGTAATTAATTACAGTTCTGAAGTACTTCTACTTTACTTTACGTTTAATGCTTGTGTATTTTTCTCTTCAAACTTGCTATGAATTAAACGTTGTCAGAGTTATTATAGGTTTTATTTGGTTATTCATTTTTAGTCTAGTTTTTTTTTATGTCAGTTAACCAAAATATCACACACAAAAACTGTGTGTAGTTTTACCCTTGAACTTCTCAGATAACTATTTTTGGTCCAAAAAGGTAAAATTATTCAATATTTCACACAAACCTAAAAAATGGTCTTCTTTCCTCTGCATTAATCATCTCATGAACCCTTTTTTTGTGATCTTTAGGAGGTGGCCAGACCCACAGGTTGGAAACCCCTGAACTAAACGCCTCGCTGTATATGAGAACTGCATAATGACTAATTTTCTGCATAATGAGTATTTCTTTTGATACTTAGAGTAAAAAAAATACTTCTGTACTTTAAGTAGGATTTTAAGTGCACTTTGAAATCAAACACTAGAAACTATGGCCTCAAAAACAGATCTGGATTAACATGTTAGAGGAACTTCAGAGTAAAAAATTAGGGCCACAAAATTAACTAATATTATGGGAGATAAGAATTATTACAAGTAGACTAATTATTACATTAGTTCCTCTATCTCACAATCTTTTGTGAAAGAGGGGTGTGTAAATAGCTTAAAGTAAATGTGCTGTTTTCTCTGAGGCCACAAGATGGCGCCCTCCTCCTTCAAGATGACCAAACTGTATTTAAATGGGGTTAAAGGCACAATAAGTCATATTGAATGTAAATCAAAATCATATGCTCAAAACACAAGACTGAAACATGGTCAAACTTTCACACTTGCATTTAATGAATGATCACAACAAACAAACTGTTTGTTTCCTCATGCTGTGAGTTGTTTGTTTACATCAGCAGCCGAATAATAACGCAGAGTAAAACCGACTCATACATTTATATTATGATTAACTGATTAAATTACAATAACATTTGTTAAAAATATGGTCAGAAATGGCCCACTGATTGTTCCTTTAACATCAACCATTAAGACACGTTGTTCAGTGTGATGCTCGAAGAGGAAAATAGAAGATACAGTCTTTCATTAATTTGTTGGATGAATCAGCTTTTTACAAACAGGCTAAATTAAAACAGACACATGAGACAATGTTCAGTGTATTGATGACAGGCAGCCACTCACACGTTTATTTAACCCCCCACATTGATGACAGGCTGAAATCATCTCACTCTTCTGCCAGGACCCTCCACTGTCAACAACAACCCCATTTATTTACATCACACTACCGGTTCACCTTCAAAATAAAAGTACAGGCCAAACTAAGCTTGCGTGTGAAAATCGGTATTTAATGGAAAAACAGCATGAAATGTGGAGAGAAACTCTCAGGTAAAAAAAAACACAACCTGAAATAAATGTGATATGGATCGATAGCCTGACATTAAAGAACAAAAACTACATTTGATTTGAAAACTATGACTAAACCTGAAAAGAATATTTAAGATATTTGATTTACTCAGTTTACTTACTGTTAATTTTATTTGTCTTCATAAAAGTCTGAATTCTGTACTGAATTTTATTATTATTATTATTATTATTATTACAAATCATAAAGAATATGCATGACATCTACCAGGATTGGAGCTGTTAAATTTACTTTTAACAGCATAAACATCCTCATCATCATCAAATCAAAATCAATCATGATTTTGTCGTAGTCTCAGTTAATTTCAGTTTTCAGTTATCTTATCTAAGTTTTCTGCAGTCTGACTTCATTATATGCTCAATTATATTAGGATTTGTTATATTATAGAAGGTGTTTGTTTTTTGCCTAATCTTTAAAATAAATGTAAATTAAAAACGTGTTGGAATTGGCTTTAATGCAGCAATATCCATATATACACTATATATTTTATTTCTGATATCGAGTCAGTTGCCATGTGAGCATTTATTTTGAAGGTGTCAACCAGAAGTCATACACCATTTGACTTGACCCAGGTTTTCTCCTTCTGGACCCCTCCCTCGACCTCTTGATCCCTTCAGCCGAGCAGCGTGCGTTCCTCCGGGCTGACGGAGGCAGCTGGTCCTGCCCTGGTGCAGAGGGAGCGGAGCGGAGCGGCCGCAGCCTCGGACCTTGTCGGGGGTCGGGATGGCGTCACTCGGCGTGGGGCTGCATCTCATCCGCAAGCGGGGAGCGGGCAGGAGCGCCACGGTGGAGAGGAGGAACCTGCTCACGGTGTGCAGGTGGGAATCCCTCATCAACACGGTTCTTTTCTTTCTGTGACAGGGAGGATGAAACAGCGTCTGCCTCTGACGGCAGATTTAATAATATCAGAGGCACTCGTTTGTTTGAGGTTAGCTTGCGGAGGCTACACCTGACTCCATCCTTATTTAAAGGACTCAATATGCATGCAGAAGAAATCATGTCTCTGTTGCATGAGTTTGCATTGAAATATTATTGAGAAAATAGGAATATATCAGTTGGGTGGTTACATCTATTGTGTGTGTTTTTGAACATTATAATCATCTCTTCCATTCAATTAAATACACATTACCGCCCACCAGCAATCAGCATCCACAAGCCTCCATTAAACATTCATGCATTCACATTTTAGTTACCCTTTAATTACCCTCATAATTTGTCCAGTGTAGGATTAAGGCTTAAGATTTTAGAAATACCACGAGTCCTCCTCCATCACAACCCCAACCCTCCTTAAAGAATTTGGATTATCCTTTAAAGACAATTTGGAAACTGGTCATGTAACTGTGCATTTATATATTTTGTTTAATTCCCCTTTGTCTTAAAGACAGTTCCACGATGCCAGGTAGCAGATAAATACTGCCTCAAACTCAAATTTAAAGATATTTTAAGTCCAGAAAACAATGCACTGGGGTGTTTTTTGAATGATTTACAGTAAACACAAAAACAACACTGAGGACATGACCTTGTTGTCCTCACTGCATTAATAAATGACAGGCTGATGCTGAGGTGTGCGCACTGCCTCTTTCTCCTCATCCTCCTCTTCCTCTTTTGTCAGTTGAAGTGAAAAGCTCTCTGCTCTGATTATTGATTTGTGGTCCTCTCTGTGCTGCTGACAGATGTCACTTAACTACTGACAGTCCCTGTGGTGTGTTTGAAACCAAAGAGTAGAAAGGGTCAGAGAAAGGGGATACAGAGAAAGGATGAAGAGACACAGAGAAAGTGTCAGAAAACAAACTGATAATGCACCACCTGCTCCAGCTGGTGTCTGCTCAGCCCTTATAGGGACACGTCTAGCAGTTTACTAAAGAACTAGTATCATTTCCAGGCTTCAGGACAGTCAGGTGTGACTGTGCTCGACATGCCTTCCTCCATTAATGTCACTTGAAACAGATGTAAAGGGAGAGTAATTAGACACAGGCGCTCCTTTGCTGATCAGGCTGTTCCTCTCCCGCCTGTTTCTGCCTCCGCACCAGCCTTCAACTCCCTGACTGACACGAGCGGAGGAGGGAAAAAAGTCAGAAAAAGTGACGGCAAATTGGCAAAATAAGTGAGGAGAAGATGAAATGTTACTGCAGTTAAAGAAAGATTGAAAAAAACTAAACAGAGGGAGTGTTTAGGTGGTCTTCTTCCACACTGTGAGATAGTATCTTATAGAACTGATTGACTAAATACTTAATCAGCAACTATTTTGATAATTGATTAATAATTTTGTATATATCATTTTTTTAAGCAAGAAATCCATTCCAGCTTCCAGCTTGTCAAATATGAAGATTTGAGTATATGATAGTAAACTTAACAACAAGCGATTTTAAAGGCATGTTGGGCTCTGGGATATTTTAATTAATTATCTATTTTATAGCATTTTTCTCGCCTTTTTATAGACAAAATTATTAATTAAGAAAGGATTAGCAGACTAATGCTGCCCTAGTAGCATGTATATTCTGTATCGGCTTGTTGCAGTTCTTTATTTAAACTATACTTGATGTGCAACACTGACTAAAAGTTGATGGCTACAAAGTGTTGTGTATCATTTATACACATTTTCCCTTGAAATCAACCTTGTATAAATATTTGGTATCTTTGGAAACTTGAGGATCTTCAGTAGAATTCAAACAATGCCTGTCTGCGCAGAATGAGTGCGGTTATCGACTGGCCCACCGGCAGGCTGCTGCCTGTTAGGTGATTTAAGCTTTCAGAAAAGTGTAGATTGCTGCTGGGAGTACAATATGAGAGGAAGGCTGCTGCTTTTTTATTACAACCACACACCTGTAATTGAAAAGATGCCAGCTGTTTTTTAATCACAGGTTCTCTAGAGGCTCTTTTCTGTTTTGGCTGTGGAAATAAACCACATACTGCTTGACACAGAGCAACTGAAGACACCAGCGTCACTGTCCTTCATAAACCCTGCTAAATTCAGTCTTTGGAGTCCATATTTGCTCCAACCAGGCCTGTAAACATCACTATTTTTTATTTTATACACACTGATAGTCAAAGGTTTGAGACTATTACTATAATAATACAACAGCCAAAGCATCATCCTCACTAGTATTTAATAGATTTCTAAATTAGAAATATATAATTAAGGTGGGAGATTAAGGTAGAAAACTAGGAAGTGTTTGACTTTATTTGTCTGCAATTGACAATCCGTCTACAATACCTGCTCTTTCTACAGATATCCAGGTTGTGTATCTGAGGCAAAACAACCCTCTTAACTTGTTTTAATGCTGTGATAAATGTCCCTGATCACCTCTGTTCTTTAAGGTGGTCTGTGCTGAAATGGACAGCCCCGCCCTCTGTTAGACAAGCTGGAGACCCTAATTAACCTCACAGCTGATTTTGTTGACGTACTGTAGGTTTGCGAGACCTATTTGAACAGGCCTTTTTCACAGCAGACATTTTTACTCATTATAGCAGGAAAAGCACAGGTGTTACTAATAAATAACATTAATGATGTCCCAGTAAGCCCAACAAGAATTCAGCCGTCATTAATTGTGTTATTAACACCTGTGTTTGTCCTAATGTCACAAATGGTGTCTTGTTTACTGTGTTTGTGGCTTTAACTTGTGGAGTTTAAAATGTACATTGTCTCGAGTTTAAGGATGTTTGTAATGTCTCTCATTCATAAGCACAACTATTTTTTAGTGCAGAAAAGAGATCCATTCACCTTTTTGTTTTTAAAGGGAACAAAGCTGACGTCGATTATTGTTGTCAGTCGCCTAGCAACAGGCCTCTCACGACTTCAAGCACCTTGACGCAAATACCGTGTACTCCACTTTTCATCTCGAAAACACAACCTCAGGAGTTACATCTGAATGCTGCTGTGTGGGTGGACAGCATTGTGGATATTTCGAGTCTTTAAAGACTTATTAGATATTAGAGTCAATATTCAAGAACTTTATTGTCATTGTGCAAGGACAACGACATTGCAGTTGCATCCTACTTATTTACAAATATAGAAAGAACACACATATTTACAAAGCATCAGGCAGTATAAGTACAAAGTATAAACACAATTAACACTGAAATACAACTACAACTATTAAGACATTCATCTACGGTGCTGTGTGACAGATATGGAATGATGATGTATTGAAATGTTGCACATAATTAAAGTTTAAAGTGATATGTAAATGAATATAATTTCAGCCCAAGTTATGCTGCACACGTCATTTAAATTCTAAACAACCACCTTGTGTTTGAGTCCCCTCGATTATTAATACAATGATAAAATTGTTCTGTGTCTGTTACAGTTTTTATATATACAAATTAAAACCACCTTCACAGTGGTAAAACTTATGAATAATGTGCTTATCCGGTATCAGTTTATTTTTAGGATTTTCAGTTTTCTCACATTTAGTTATTGTGTTTAGGTTTTTACTGTGTGAATACATGAAAGAAGTAATAACCGAGAGAATAAGTGCAATATACTCCAAGCAGAAGGGAAATTTGATTTTTCCTTAACTGCTGTGAGGAGCCAGTGTGTTTTTCAAAGTGTGTGAAAGTTAATAAATAATATATGTGATTAAAAGGCTTTATTATGGAAATAAGATTAAATATATCAGTCTTGCCTTCTTTCACAGGAAACACACACTCTGTGGTCACCCTGCTGCTAAGCAACGAGATAGAGAGATATGAAGTCAGACTATTTAGCTGACGTTGAGGGCTACACATTTGGCAGAATTTTCAGAACGCACACATCGACACATGGCAGCCTTGTCCATTAACTCTCCTTCCTGTCTAATTAGTTGAAATCTGATTAAGCAGTCGGTCGGTGCACATGACTTGTCATAGTGGGCCGCACATTACGACTGGTTTAATCTAGATTTATCAAAGCCTCATTACAACTATGGAGGCCAGATGTGTTTATTTTTCATGCCTTGTAATTTTAAGTTCAAAGTGAGAAAATAAATCAAATAGTAGATCATTTTTAATATGTTAAATGAGATTCTTCTTCTTTTTGTTTGTTGTTTGTTATAAAATATACATTACCAGTCAGACAGCTGCAAAGAAAGTAGTTTATTATTGGGGATATTTAGATGTAATGAGGATAGAGACTGCACACATTTAAAGGGATACTTACTGACTTACATAGTAATAAATAGTTAAGACCAAAATCTGACTTATTGATCTTCCATATAACATTTAATAGATAAATATCATAAACATCATGTCAAATGTGCAGTTAAAACTAAAATATTGTTAACTGCACAGCAAGGTAAAGCAAGATAGCCAAACCCTGTTAAAGCTAGCATGAGATAACCACTAACTGTTAAATAAATTAATAAATATATCAATTTCAGTAAACAGTTTTGTAATTTAGTTTGTTGTCCCACAAAAATGAGGCATAAACTAAATCCAGAGAATAAAAATCAGCTAAAAAGATAACACGCCTAACATTAGCTTAGCAGAATAGCAGTAACTTTGATCATTATGGTTTATCATCATCATTATCATTTGGTGTGGTCATTAACTTGTTATATTCATTTAGATTATTATTCATATAATTAAAAAAATAGTAGATTGAAAGCTGATTTTGTTTGTTGTGTTTTCCCCTCAACATCCGCTGCATTTACTCCTCTCTGCCTTTAAAGGGCAGATTACTTCCATAAAGTTGGTTACAGAAACTTGTAAAATATTAAATATCCAACTTTTAAAATTCTTATAAAGCTTGTTTATGTTTTCTTTATAGTCTCCAAGCTGAGATAACCCCCGCTGACATCCTCTTTGCTCCTTACTGTGTGTGAAACTGTTGCCTTTTAAGCTTCAGGTCCAACAGCTGATGTTAAAACCAGTGTGTACATCTTCTTCTGTGATCAGGTTTTCAGTGAAGACTCTGCTGGACCGCTCCTGCTTTGAGACAATAGATGACTCATCTCCAGAGTTTGTCAACTTTGTTTCCATCCTAGAGCACATCCTCAGTCATCGACTCAAAGGTAAAAAAACGTAAGCAACCTTCTTCTCATCCACATGCATACACGCAGATACATAAACGTCACTAAAATTCTGTTTCTTTTGTTTATCTTTAAAATCAGAGCAGTATAAATGCAGATTCAAGGATGTATAAATCTCTGTTTCGTTCTCTTCTGTTTTTCTCTCAGGTCAGACAACTTGGTTTGGCTATGAGAGTCCTCGGAGTTTCTGGGATTACATAAAAACTGCCTGCAGTAAAGTCCCTCATAACTGCATCCGAAGCATTGAGAGCATGGAGAATGTGCGCTCATCCAGAGCTAAAGTGAGGATAAAACTTTTTTTTTTTAACATTTAACGACCTGAGGCAGCATAGAAGGAAATAACTTGAATCTTCAAAACATCAGAAAGTCAAATACAAAACAGAGCATTTGATTAAAAGCCAAAAATGTAAAGATCTAAGCAATTTCAGTTTTATATACACAATACTACAATTAGTCCGAAAGTATCCCGACCTACAGCACACACATAATGCACAATAAGGAGTTTGTGATTTCAGCTTAGTTTGCGTTATCCCCTTTAAAAAAGAACAAAGGGAACACAGTCAAAAAAAGGTTAAGACCACACATGCACATACAACGTGACTCAATCTTACCCCCGTGGGCAAGAGAGCAAACAACTGGAGCTAATATTCTACAATGTTAGGCTGTAGGTGAGAACAAGACCCGCTGCCTGTCTGTCTCTCTCTCTGTCTCTCTCTCACTCACACACACACACACCACACACACACCCACACACACACACACACACACTCTCTCAGGTCATGGACTCTTTTTATGAATCAGTAAAAGCAGCTTTGCAGTTGAAACAGAAACAGAATCAGCTTTATTGGCGAAGTATGTGTGCACATACATGGAATCTGACTCTGGTTTTAAGTTGCCCTCAATGTTACACACAGACCAGTGTACAGGTAGATAGAAATAGAAATACAGCTGAAAACAACACATTTGGACAAAGACTGCTAATATCCTGCAGGCCTTAAGTTAAGTGTCAGTGCTATGGACTCTTGATCTTATTATCCAGTATATCCTGTGCTACTGATTGTCTTTTTAAGTGATTCCACTAACAGCTCAATTGTGTATGTTCTCTCTCTGCAGGGCAGGGCGTGGATCAGAGTGGTCCTGATGGAGAAAAGATTATCAGAATACATCTCATCTGCACTGAGGGATTTCAAAACAACCAGGTCTTAATGTGTTTTATATACTGTACAGACAGTTTCCCCCTTCAACCCAGTTATAGATGTTTTATCAAGTGTATTTAGGAAGGGTCTCTCTCTAACATTCTTCTTACAATCTTGCAGCTGCACCTGCGTCTTCTACCCTTTCTTTAATTCCCAGTCATTTGACTACATCTAGACGAGTGTGAGTTGTAAGTATATTGTATATTGTGTGTCTGTGTGTTGACTGTAGGAGGTTTTACGAGGACGGAGCGATCATGCTGGGCGAGGAGGCGGGGCTGTTAGCAGACACACTCATTGGACTCAACACCATTGACTTCAGGTACTGATCATGTACTTGTATCTCTTACTGCAACTCTTCAGGCCTGTTTCCTCGCCCTGTTGCACAGTCAGTGTGTTGTGTCATTGGAAAAGTAACAATCACTTTTTTCCCCCCTAAATTTGAGGGTGATCCAAAAGAATTATGTGATCTTAACAGAGTTGAAAATGAAAAAGTGGATGGAATAAGAAGCGCCTTCTCGTGTCTGAGTGAAAAATACATAATAGATGAAATACTACTACTATAAATACCTTATGCGTCTAATGCATCAGCAACTCAGGCAGTGACTTAAGTAAATTGCAGTGAGACGGGCTGGTGATCACTATTTTTATCAGTTTTTAAAGCAGTATAAAGCAACTACCAGAGATACAAAGAGGCCAGAGAGTTGCTGCCTAAACTGCAGGTGCAGAGAGAAAGCTGTAAAATATAAATCATGTAACTAACACAAGGAAACTGCTGTAGCAAAGAAGAATAGTGATCCTCAGTGATAAAAATAGTGAATGGATGTGTGATAACAGTGACCTTAAAACTAACCATCAAGTAGAAACAATTTTTTTCACCATATTAGTACAAATCTAAATTTATAAATAATTTCTTAAAATGTAAACTAATATAAACTTATTTGTCTGATTCTGGTGAAAGGACACACAGTATACAGCATCTCCCTTGGCAGTTTTCATGTTTTATTTAACATTGAATTTAAATAGATTTAATTTGGCTTTTTTGGACTCTGATCAACAGAAAAAGACAAAGTAAAAACATAATCATGATCTCCATTAAGTAAAATATAAAATACTAAATACTTGTTTGTGTAAGTATTCACCCACTTTATTAGAAGACACCTGGTGCAGCTTGTTGGTTTTAGAAGTCACATAAATAGTTAAATGTAGATCATCTGTGTGTAATATGAGTAAGCAGAGAAGAGACGGTGCTTTGACTTTCCATCCTGTCTCCTCTCTTTAGCTTCTGTCTGAAAGGAGAGGGTGTGGACGGCAGCTGCCCGGCCGTGATCGACTACACTCCTTACCTGAAGTTTACTCAGAGGTATATGAGGACAAATAATAACATCACACAGTTCATTCATTAGTGTATAGCAGGGGTCAGCAGTTAGGTTCAACTAGGCAGGCAGTATTGGAGGAATATCTGATGCTATCAGAACAACTCTAACATTTAGGATCTATTTGCAAAAAAATTTAATTTAATATTCGTAGGGATGTTTTCATTAGTGTATAATCACCTGAAAATTTAAAAGTTACCTTAGAATGAACTGTTGAGCTGTATTCAAATGGTTGCAATCTGCAGCTTCAGCACTAGATGGCACTGAATCGTACGTACACACTGGTGCCTTAAGAATAACATTTGTTACAACGAGCTGCTTTACTATTGTATCTGAGGGCAGATGTCAGAGCATAATGTTCTGTGTTGCACTACGAAGATACTGGAGATGTAACAGAGCTTTTACACACACGACAAACAGGTGTGCTTTATTTATAGTTGAATGAAAGGACTGCTGTTGACCACAATCTGTTCTGTTCAGACAAGCCAAATTATATAATTTAACTATATATTCATGTGTATTAAGCTTTATTTCAGCATGCACTGGTCAAATACCCTGCGTCTCCTCATGTGGGGGTAGTATTAGATTTTACAAAGTCATATTTATTGGGATTTATATGATACTTACATTGTTATCTACAGCAGAGTTGGGAAAATTCATATAAAAGTTTGAACTATAAAAGGCAAGACTTCAGCTTTGGTCAGGGGGGCAGATATTCTATAGGATGTGTGCTAACATGAGGCACACTCCTTGCACAGTGCGGACAGCATCAGCAGTGACGAGGAGGAGATGAGGACTATGGGGAGCAGCGGCAGCGAGGGCAGCACCCCCGATAAAATGGCCACTGCCGCCTCCATCTTCACCGAGCAGAGCAACTTGGTCAGCAAGTGCAAGCGCTTTGAGCAGAAGTATCGCATGGCGCTGGAGCAGAAGGTAGCACCTCAGTGTGTCTGGGATAAACAAATGGTGGTAATATATGCCAGCGTGACATTTTGCTTGATGCATAATAATTAGGGGCTCAGTTTGTGAAATGCCGGGAGGAAATGTGTAAACTCACATTCAGCTAGATGGTCTTTCTCACAGCGTCTGTAATGTTTCTTCCCTCTGAGGCTTCAGCTGCCACAGTCTTTGGTTATTTTATTTGCTTTGAGCCAAAACAAATAATTCAGCAAACAGCAGTATCTTCATGGCAGTAAACAAACAAAGGAGAAACTGTGTGTGCTTGTGTGTCTGTCTCAGGGTTACCTGGAAGAGCTGGTGCGTCTACGAGAAGCCCAGCTGTCAGAGGCTGTGTCTCACAACAAAGCTCTTCAGCAGAGCCTAGCAGACCATCACCTGTCCCACACACTGGAAAAAGAGCAGCTTGAGTACATCATCCTGGAACTACAGGACCAACTGTAAGTTCAGCCCCAGCTCTGTGTGTGTGTGTGTGTCTGTGTGTGTGTGTGTGTGTGTTTGTCAGCCAGTGCATGTAAGGTCGCTGACAGTGAGGTGGAGAGGACTTTGCAACACATCCAGCTGTGAATTTGACATTCAGAAAACAGCGAGAAGCCTGGAGGTTGCAGGCAGTTTGTTATTTGTGTGTCGTTGAATCCGTCGCAGTGGGTGCTGCTTTTAGCCAAGAGGAAAAGCCGCCTCAGCGCTGTGTCTTTCCATTAATTTCCATTAATGTTCCAAGCAGTGAGAAAACGCTTTCTCTTCATTTGATTGCTAATTCAATGTTGGCTACAAAGTCTGTCAGGAGGATTTGTGTCACGATGTCTGGAAATGAAGTTGCAGTCTCAAGCCAGTGTGATGAGTCAGTGGATGTTTTCAAATGCAAATAGAGTGAAAAGCAAAGTGACACGAAGCGTGAGGCGCTGACTACAACTGACTGTGAGAGTGACAATGTGAGTCTATGTCTGTGTGTGTGTGTGTGTGTGTGTGTGTGTGTGTGAGAGTAAACATGCAGGTAGAAGTGTAATCAGAGACGAATAGATACAAAATAAAATTACTCCACAAAGGTTTGAATTTTAAAGAAAGAGTGACATATAATGACAAAAGGATGGCTGATGAACTGATCTAACAGGGTGCGTTTCCTTTGGTTTTGTTGTTATTGTTTGTCCCTTTTTGTATAAATTGTAAATTATATAATATATATATACTATAAATATAGTGACAGGTGTCTGAGATTTCCTGTGTTTGACAACATAAGACTGTAGCTGATTTTGTACAGCCTGACCAATGTTTGTGATTTAAAAATATTTTATCCTATATATCGACTAATATTCTTTTTGTTTACACCAACACTTTACCAATAATCCCTTAAATTGGTTTTAAATATACACATAATTCACATAATTGTGACCAAGATAAAATAAACTGTGCTCTTTAATGGACAAACTATATATGTACTTTTCTTGCCTTTTCTTTTCTTACCTTTTCTTGTCACAACTGATACTGATGCATCTGTGATAAGGAAATAATAGCCTATTCTATTAGCTTTTAGTCTTTTTCCTGTGTTGTACAGTTTTCAGTCTTTTGCGTTATGTTATTTATGTATTTGTGCAGATTATATTGAATGCATTAAATGACGCCCTTCCTTTTATTAATCAAAAAATTGTTTCTAACTTGGACACTGTTACCTTTAGGACAGTGCTGAAGAACAATGATTTGCGGTCCAGACAAGAGTTGACAGCCCATCTGACCAATCAGTGGCCGTCTCCTGTCGCCTTGGATGCCAACGCCGTTGCCTTGGACACGCTGCTGTACAGGAAGAGCACGGGACAGTGGGAGGAGTATGTGGATAAGTTGACTTCCTTCAGCTTCCAGGTTTAGTTTGGTTCTGTCTAGGGCTGCAACTAATTAACTGATGCATTGATTTCTGGATTTCTCTTCCCCTGCTCCTCACAAATATTGTTATTTAATGATTAGTCTAACTCAAACTCAGAGCTGCTGGATCTACTGTAGCAAAAAAGATTGCCAGCAACTAGATGGAAGTCAGTGGTGTGGTGGCATATGTAGATATATTGACATTGGATTATCGGTGGCTGGGATCAGCGGCTCAAATGGGAGCTGAGAGGGAGTGGAAATATTTACTTTCATAACAACATTACAGATTCTAATCTGTGTACTCTATCTGTGATGTATTTATCTCTGTATATCATATGTTATTGTTCATATTAAACCACAAAGACGATGTACCCTTTGCAAGAATTTAATAACAAGAAACGTAAACATTATCTGATTATTCAAGTAATTGTTTAGTCTCTAAAATGTCAGAAAATGGGGAAAAATATGTCCCAAAAAGATTGTTTCTGTCTGGCAGAGTCTGAAATTCAAAGGTATTCAATTTACAGTTCATAAGAAAATGAGCAAATCATCCATTTTGTGAATCAAATGTTTGATATTTTTGTTTGTTTAATGAACTGCTTGTTAAATCATTTTCTGTTGATTGACTAATTGTTTCAGCCTCTAGTTCTGTGTTCTGTTACTGATCTGCTATCCTCTCCTTGCAGGAAGAGTTTCCAGAGTCTGGAGCAGCTGTCTGCAGACATGAGCCTCTCCCAGACTTCTCTCGAACCGTCACACACACTGAGTCTGGAGGCCAGGCCGGCCGGCACGCACTGGCCCCACCAAGGTACGTCTCCTTCAAGCGACGTTGTCCAGGAGGGTCTCCGCTCTGACGTGAGCATGAAGTCTGTGCATCATGTCTTTCAGGTAAAGAGGAAACTCCATCTTTAAGAGGTCTGTGTGGCTCCCTGACATCTGTCGGCAGCTACAAGTCTCTGGCCAGCCTGAAGTCCAGCGAGTGTTTGGCCAGTCCTGCCACAGAGATCAGCAGCCCGGGCATCACTCCTTCATAGGGAATAGAGAGCTAAAAAAAAAAAAAAACCCAGACACCACCACAGCCAGACAATCCAGGAACTTTGTAAATGTTTGCGATATTGATTTGCTGTTTGTAGACGTTTATGTTCCGTATGTGGAGTGCAGAGCTTTAACAGATGGAGGTCAGGTTTGCAAGTTGTTGTAGTATGTTCTTTAAATTGTGTTAAAACTCAACTCCATCAGGCTGAATAATGTCGTATTAATGTACCATTCAGTTGAAACAAACCCCCGCCTCTTTATAGAGGATCTGCAGCTGTAACTTCATCGAAATGTTTAAATTATTTTGTTGGTGTTTATCTGTGAAGCATTAGTTTTTTTTTCTCCCTTTCGTGGTAATAAATAAAAAAATAGAAAGTTGATATAAGAATTACAATGTCACGTTACAGTATTGAGAAGACAGTGATTAAGTGTTTTCACCCCTCTCGAAGATGGTTTATAGCATGGAGATTATAGCATGCTGAAAATACTGACTGATCAGATCAGAGATTAGAAGATAACTCAAACATGCTGTAAGCTTTGGTCAGTATTTAGTCTCTCGTCACTGTGAATTTATTATCTTCTGTGCTGTTAGTGCTGCCATCTTAAAGTTGTTTTTTACACATTGCCATTTACTTTGATTTATGATGTTGATGGTTACGGACGGGACACTTTTGTCGGATTATGTCATCAGAATTTTGCATAATGTAAATGTTCTTTCACCTTTCTTTTTTATAATCATCTTATGTAGTCAATGTTGTGCATAAAGCAGTATCACATGGTTTGGTTCTCAGGTAATGATCACTATGATTAATATTCACCCGTCAGTTATGGGTTTACTTTAAAGTTTAGCTTTATCAGACACAGACTATTGTTATTATTCCCTTTAAATATTCAAATGCAGTATTTCAATGGCTAGTTACCACAAGTAGATCATTCTTACCACTGAATAATGGTCTGTGTTATCTTGAAACAGACAAAGAGAAACAACTGTGTTCACAGAATATCAGTATAATGTAATTTGTATTATTGCTGACTAGCTATGTACCTCAACACTGAACTCATGACTTTGCCTTTAGCTCGTTCCAGCAGACATTGCACAGACTTACAGCAGATGTTTTATTAGATTTATTTGCCTTTTTATTCCTTTGTTTTGAATAAACTCCACTTACTCAAACAATGAGAATTTGATACTGACAGTTATGTTTCTTGCCGACAATGAACAATGTGCTGATAAAGCTTATATAAACTCAATGGATGAAAAGAACATCAGGTATCTATATTGAACATTTGCGGTGTCACATTTTCATAGAGTTTACATGCGTCACAGTCTTTATCTACAGTCTCGTGTCGAACTGAAAAAATTTCACTGGTTACAGAAGTGGAAGTGCAAAACATCTCAGGTGGGAAGGGGGGGGGGGGGGTGTTAATCTTACATCTCTAATGTAAAGACTAAAGGCACAATGCACATGATCCCAGAGAGACAGCCACACATGGGACCTGGAAAATTACATATTATTAACAAAACTGTGGCTGCCATCTGCTGGCTGATGAATGCATCAAGAAGCACATGATTTAAACATGATTTGTTGTGCGCACAGGATCTATAACAGTGAACATAAAACCATAGAATATTAAATTATAAATACTAATAGAAATGCATTTAATATACATTTTTATCATCTAAAATACCTTTTAATGCAGAAATTGGTCTTTTTATCTTCTATTTCTGCTTGTGTTTTTAATTTGCCAAACAAGCCTTTTCCTTCCAGGTATAGTCTAGCAATAGTTGCTTCAGTGTTTTGGTTTAGAGGGAAATGACAGGAAAACTATCAGGTGTTGCTGGGCTGCAGCGTCCTGAGTATCCTCTCCTGGTTGTGTTTGCGGAAAAAGGCCTTTCCAAACTCGTAAGTGCTGATCATAATGGCACAGGCCGGGGCCACTTTGATCAGCCTGGGGAGGAAACCTGGCAGGGA